TTATATATGTGATCAATAATATTTCCTGTGTGATTATTTTGTATTGTTCGACAAACAGTGCGAAAGGATTCTCTCTACTTGACTTATGGATATTTTTTTTTTTTATGTGTTATCGAAAAAAAAAAAAAAAAAAAAAAAAAAAAAAAAAAAAAAAAAATAAAAATCAAAGGACAACGTGTAATTCTCGTACGTTCGTTTATTTTTATATAAACGAAGGATTTCATCGTAAAGTGTTGAAAAAGGAAAAAAAAACAAAACCAACAAAAAAAAGAACTTCCTCATTGACAAAGCGAACGACGTCAGAATAATTCTCGTTATGGATTCCATCTCAAAGGTGAGTCATTATTATAATTACAGTCATTATTAATAATATTCGTTTTTTCAATTTTTTGTTTGTGTTTTTGTTTTAACTACTCACTTGACAGATATCTAATTCATTCCTTTTTTTACAAATTTATTTTAACTTCGTATCTTTCGACGTGAATACACAAATATTATTACTCTTGTCTTTAATAATACTTGAAAAATTTGTTTTCAATTTCATTGAAACGCATAGAAAGATTGAAACGTCTCGTTTCTGCATTTGCACGAGTACCCTGATACAAAAATAGATCGTACAAAGTAATTTAATAATCTCGAATAAATGTTTGCACGCGATATGCGTTGCGCTACTTTTGCTGACTAGGCATGGGTTTTTTTTTTTTTTTTAAATATATATATATATAAATATTTTACGTGTACGTAAATTGTTCTATCATTTCTTCATTGGTCTCTCATATATTTGTTCATTTGAAATATTTCAGAAAAAAAAAAGAAAAGAAATGAAATATATATTCTTTATTAATCTGATCACAGAACAATATGTTTCTTATAATAAAATTGATATTGTATTCGATATAAAGACATTTGTCACTAATAAGAATTCGATCAAATTGATCAGAAAAACGCTATTATATCATTCAAAGAGAAATAAAGATAGAAAGATAGAATGAGAAAGATTGTTTTGTACAATGGATTATCCACATTGGATATTCTCATAAACCGTGATCGGAATGATAATAGCTATCTGTAATTTACGATCCCTAGATCGTTCTATGTATCTAGATAAATACGTGCAAAACCATTGACCAACTATTTTCTTGTCTAAACTTAAACACCATATATATAAATATCATTTCTATTCGTTTTTCGTTAACGAACACTTTTCGACACGTTATTTTATTTCATCGTTTCAAATATATATAAATCATTTCTCATTTATCTTATAAAAAAATAAAAAAATAAATTAATCATAAACGAACACACGTGTTGTAAAAAAGTAAAACGAAAGAAAACAAAACAGATTGTCTCGTTTTTGTTTCTAATCAATGGGTTCAATTAGCAATCATTTTTTTTTTGATGGAACAGAAAATTAGACTGAAAGAATATTTAATTTGATAAATTAATTTCGTTGTATTATACAAATGATAATCAAATAAAATTAGAAAAACAAAAATGTAATCGAATAAACGAATTCTGTTGTTTTCGTTGATATTACTACGAACAAAAAATATAAAATAAGACGACGACGAGGAGAGATTAGAAAGTTATTATTAAAATGTGATTTGTTAAATTAGAAAATTAATTTAATGGAACGAAATATAATAAAAAACAATTTAGCATGATTAATGAATTATTTTGTTGTATATTCTTCGATATTACCAACCAAAAAAAAAAACTACGACACGAGGATAGAAAGTTAATGAAATTCAAAGGAATAAAAAAAAAAAAAAAGAAATAATTAGAAATCAATCAGAAGAATATAACGCGCGTGTGGAAAGAGAAAAGAAAACAAAAAAATTAATAATAATAATAACAAAAAATATATCCAAGAGTGGAGAAATAAAATAAATGAATAATATATTCCATTGTATTAATCGATGTATTATTATAACGATAAAATATAATATTAAAATTATAACCAAAGTAAAAAAAAAAAAAAAAAATAGAAAGTTATAAGATAATAAAAAAAAATAAGAGATTAATTAGAAAGAGTATATAAACAATTATTTAATATTTTTTATTTTTATCGTAAATTTTTTCTTCTTCTTCTTCTTCTATATAATTAAAAACTCATAAAAAAGAAAGGACGTTGTTAATCAATGGTCGAAAGGTCAAGATCGATTTTATTTACAATCCAAGATGGTAACCGCGAGAGGTTTGCACGATCGAAAGAGTAGACGTGCGATTAATCGTTGTGAGAGACTATCATAACATCTCTATGGTGGTGAGGGTCCTTCTGAAGAAAATAGAAGATATAAAAGATGAGAGAAAATAACTTAAGGAATTTAACCCATGCGTTGTGTACGCATATACGTAAAAAAAAATATTTGAATATATGCATGCATATATATATATATATATATATGATGTGTATGTGTGTGTGTGTGTGTGTGTATGAGTATGTGAATGTGTATGTTAGTTACCTGGAGGTTTCAGGTAAAAAGCAAGAATACGATAACGATCTGAAAGACGCTGCATTAGCATAATCTTTAATATGCGCCTTATGTGCAACGAGAGTCCCTTGAAAATGCATCGAATAGTTCATGCTTTCAACAAAATATTCTTAAAGGTCGTGAGAGAATTCATTTAACGAAAGTATACCCTTTTTACAATTTTTCATCTTACCCCTTTTATCATAATGAACAATCTATCTATCTATTGGGATTATATTTATAGAAATTAAATGTTAATTATTGCCTAATGATTTGTAAACGTAATTAATATTATACACGTGACGTGATGTTTTATAATAATAAACGAACAAAATAAAAAATGGTTGATCAATTTATAATATTACATTTAAACTAAATATGTATTATAATAGATAAAATAAAAAAAAAATTTGTGTGTGTGTGTGTGTGTGAAATTTACACATTGGACACGAAGTTTTATCCCGAACATTTGTAATTTAATTAATTTTTGGTTAATTAAAAAGATTTACGAATGAAATAATGTTAAATATTGGAATAAAAATGATAGACAAATAAAATTGTTAAACGTGGTGGGGTGGGGGGGGGGGGGGGGGGTTTAAATTAGCAAATATTTAAATTCAATTAACCTTAATAGGAGGTAGATAAGAACAACTGGGTTTGTGTTTTTTTTTTTGGAATCATTTTCATGCATCTGGGATTACTTTACAATTTGACCTTAAACGAAATCCTTGGAATCGTCCATGGATGAAGTCATTTTTTTTCAGGAAGAGAAATAAAAAGTTCCTCCTTTCTTTTTCTTGTCCTTCTTATCCTTTTTTTTTTTCTCT